GCCCCTGCAACCACACTCAAAGTCTGCAATAGAAATATACAGTATGTGGCCTGCCAAAAGGTGTTGGGAGTCTATTTTGATTCTCCACAACTTACATTCCGGGAGCACATCAGGGTAACTCGCACTGCCTGTTTGAAACGAGTGCAGGTGCTTCGAGCACTCAGCTCTGTGAAGTGGGGTGCATCTCGACAATTGTTGCGCAGAATTTATGTCGCCTCTATTAGAAGCAAGATGGAGTATGGCTCCACAATTTTCTGGGACATCTCCAAGTCTTTGATGAAGGCACTTGAAACTATGCAAAACTCTGCTCTTCGATACATCCAAGGAACCCACCGTACCACTCCAATAGTTTCTCTACAAGTCGAAAGCTTTGTTGCACCCCTGGAACTTCGTTTCCTGTACCTTTCCATAAAATGGGTCATCGGATATCTGTACATGCCTGCAGGTGACTCTGTACCAAACATTTTGGGATTCACTGACCAGGGAACCTACAGCAACACACCTTTTGTCATCAGAGCCCGTGAAAGCTTCCACAAGCTGGGTATGCTGGGCTTCGCCCATGTTAAGCCCAATCCCACCTGAAGTAGATCTTGCCTCAAGTATTCTTCTCAATGTCAAGGACAATTTCTTAAATAACATGCCAGATCAATCCATTCAGAACTGCTTCACGAACTTTTGGAGGAAGTGCTACCCAAAACACTTCCAAATTTACACAGACGGCTCAAAGTCTGTTGATGGGTCAGTTGCTGCTGAATTCTTTGTACCATCAACTCAGTTGGCAACTGGCTGGTTGCTCTGACGAGTGCACACGGTGCTTGGCGCTGAACTGTTTGCCATACTCAAGGCCATGCAGCTGGCCATTGAAGATACACTTCTGGAGGAAGAGCCTGTTTTAATTTTGACTGATTCAAGGACTGCCCTGCATATTCTAACCTCTACATCTAGACGCTCCCATCGCACAGTTGTGTTCAAGATCCACGAGTTGATGCTGATCGAAGGACTTGACAAGGTGGTGCTCTGTTGGATACGGGGTCACAGTGGTATCCATGGGAATGAGGTTGCAGACAAGGTAGCCAATCTGGCACATTCAAATAATCGTACAGCAAGGTCTCAAGTGTGCTTTAAGGAGTGGATCTGTACCATAAAAACCCTCATCAACCAGGAATGGGTACGCCGATGGTCAGCAGAGGTGCAGGAAACAGGCAAGGGGATCTTTCGATGGAGCTTAGGGCCAGCTATTACCTATGTGGACTATGGAATGCTGCCACGCTCAGTTGAATGCTCTGTGTCATGCCTTCGCATGGGGCAGGCTGGTGTAAATGCTCACTTGGCCAGATTCAACATGGCAGATTCAAGTAACTGCTCAGCATGTGGCGTTGAGGGCACAGTCAGCCATTTTATACTACATTGCACACGATTCACCAAACAACGAAGGGATTTCCACACAAGACAGGAAGGCCTGTCTCTTCCCTGGGATCTTACCACGGCTCTTGGTGGTGGGGACATCCCAGCAAGGAGCCGCACTACTGTCATTCAACATCTTAGTCGTTACTTGCTGAACTGCAATATGATGGCCATGTTGTGAATGTTCATCTGAAACCAATTTTACTCTTCTTTCAACAATGTACTGCCACATTGGCTGCTGAAACATGTGGAAGTGATGCATTCAAACACAAAGAGGCAAGAACAGAAAATAAGTCTAAAGTGAAGTGACACAAATCAAAATTCAATTGGTGCTCAGGCTGGGAGGTGTGTTTTCTACATACCCAAAGCCTAATAATTCAATTAAAAAAAATATCCCTAGGAGATTGCTAAGTTGCTTGTTGGCCTTTGTGGAAGACGGACGTGTGTCCTGTGTGAGTCGCTCTCTTGAACTAGTCAAAATAAGTCAAGTTACTATCTGATTTCCTAGTTTGTAACTTTGTAGGTTCTTTTCACTTAGCTGAATTAGCTCTGTAAGAACTGCAAGGGAAGGGGAAATGCAGGAAAAAAAAACAATAGTCATTCATTTGGATTTTGCATCAACTGACAACGAGGCAGACTCAGACTCTGACATGTCTCACTACCTATGTTGGCCATACCCAGAATGGTGTGGTTTTCTGCTGATTAATCTGGTGTTGGCTTACACAAGGCTCTGAGCCATGGTCCGGAAGATGTGCCAGGTGCGCAGGAATTTTTATTATCATTGCATCAACTTGTGCCTTGTGCCATAATATGCTGGTAAAAAAGTGCACCATCACCGTGCGCCAGCCTGTGCCATGCTCCTAAAGTTGTTTAAAGATGAATGCGCGGCAATGCTATCACACACGAACAAATATCTGCATCAGGTTGACTAGATTTCTAACGTGTTAACTCAGGTTCTAAGAGTCGGCTCAGTTATGAATATTTATTCATTATTCATAGATCACAATTTGGTTGGATAGTTTAGCTGCTACAACATTTCTACAAAATGTGGGACGCTCGTCCCGATTTACCCCGCCTGTATCTTTTTATCCCGTTTGATGGTATATGTTACAAGGAACCGTTATTTGTAAAATAATTATTTTAGGAAATGTTACATGGCATGCAGAAGCATGTCATCCATGTGTTTTCTAAGCAAGATTTGGAGATGATTGTATACAACAGACTGTGCTAGGAAGCCATATCTTAGGTGCAGTGTAATATAAGCACAATTGCACAAAGGAATTTTATCAATTAAGGAGTAAAAGTTTTTATTTATTTGGAGAACAGTACAAGTTAATTGGAAATGATGACACATTGTGTAAAATAACAGTTTTGAGAACAGTGGAAAAACAGTGGCTGTAACTAAAAAGACTTAGGCAGATCTACTAAGACCTAAAAGTACCTCTAATCCTAGTCCACCATGATGTATATAAATGCTTAGCCATTGTTTCAATTCAGAGGTATAAACACTTGGAAAATTCCATCTCACAAAAGAAACCTTGCAATAACAGGACTTACAGGAGTAAGTTGAAATGGTAGAAAATTGGGAAAATTTTATGATATAATAATGCATGCCTAATATGATTTGCATGCAATACATCATGAAGCATGTATTTTTAGATATTTTAGTGGGTCATTCTAGACTTTGAATATGCTTCAATTCTTATTAAATTTTATAGAATTAAATAATTGAATGTTATTGTTGAATTTCAACAAATGAAATTGTAGTGCTGTAATTTCATTCTATATTAATTTTCTTTTATGGCTGTAACTCATAGAAAACTTTTCACAGATAAACTTAGTTACAGACTGGTAATGGGGAAGTCATGTGATGCAAGTTTTCCAATTTTACTTGAAAATTCTCATTTCAGGCATTGAATTTTATTTGTAACAAATCTGAAAGTATGGGGATACAGTTTTTATGATAATATAGTAGCATGAACATATATCTAGTACTTGGGGCCTCTCAGGGGGGACTTCTGATGGGTGTCTATGCTTGTCAGAAGTCCTATAGGATTTTGCCCTCCTAGGGGGATGATTCCTGAGCACCATACTGCTGAGCTTGCAGTGTCTGACTGCAAGTCTCAGTTGTGAGGTCAAGTTATTATGTAGGTAGGATTCCTTCCATTTCCCCTCTCTGTCTCTCTTGTGCAGGTGGCCGATGTCCCGTGTAAGCAACTTCTTGTTCAAGAGTCTCAGTTTCTGTTGCTTTTCACCTGTTCCTCCTTGTCACTTTCTCATTGAGATGCTAATGCTGCTTCTTTTGAGCCAGCTTAAGCGGGCTGGACAATCGAGACCTTCCACCCCTTGTGGGTGATGAATGATTTTTCGATTTAAGAAACTTCCAATAACTGGGACCTTCCGCCTCTTTGGTGATGTTCATTTTGACTTTTGGTGTGAGATAGCTAAATAGCTGAAGTGCCAGTAAGCATTTGGCCACTAAACTAACTAACTAGATCTAGTACTTGACATTAGCAATCAATGTCAAGTGACTTTTGTAAACCATACATTTGATCGGAACAAATGGACCAATTGCTTCTGAAAGCAATTTTGTGTGTTTGTGTGCCTTATATAGCCAAATTATAATTTATTCAGCAAGTATATATATAGTAAGGGAGATACCTAGAAGTTTCTCAATGTTAACAGCATTGAACTTATATGGCAACAATGAACTTAATCCTGAAGATTTAGGAAATGAATTGAATGAGAAAATAAATAAAATTGCCAAGCATTTTATGGATTTTAAACTTGGCACTCTTGATGAGAAGTCCATGAAAGAGAAGAAGATGAATAAGGTTGACTATGCAATGCCCTACCTGCCAACATACAAGGAGGTTGAGGTGGGTATTTTTCTTGACCTAATTGCAAGTGAAGACTGATCTAGTAATGATGCTTGAGGTTTTTTTATGTTCACTCACTCCTCAAAATTGTACTTAGGTATATTAACTTCTGATTGAACATGTATCACACTTTTTTGGGGAGCATCCTTGCCACGACCTTGCCTTGCCTTCTTCTGAAGTCTAAATTGTCTGGTTATAATTTTTTTTATTCTGCAGTTGCCATTATTTACCAAATTCATCCAATTACCAAAAGTCAATTTGTAATTACTGTTTATCTTGATAAATTTCATTTCCATTCTATTCTCGTCAAGTGCAAAAAAATGATTAAAAAAACATTGTACAGTGAAATTCGTAAAATTATAACATGAATTGATTATCTTGTAGCATTATTAAATTATGAATTACATCTATTAATAATATGACATGCTTGATTGATATTAATTTTTATTTTCACTTCCTCATCTTTAGATTTAGCTATTTATTCTTCAATAAATATAAATTTAGAAAAGCATTTTCATCCTGATAGAAATACCATGTAGATAGACAGTTTTTGGTTTATGGAACTTGATATAATACTGGTTAAATTAAAAGAAATATACATATAACTTAAATAGTAATGAATAAATAACCTATTCTGGATAAGTAATTGCTAATTGCACCTGTTTTCACGTCATTATGCTCAAATATAGGAGAGAAAACTTGTCTCATGTTTAAAACTTTTAGCTTCTCCGATATTACAAAATGTCTACACAACTTAGCCAAGCTGAAAATTCTGTTATCAATTTCAGATTTATGCTTTTCAAATGAGTTATTTCATGGACCTCTGTTTTTATTACAGTTTCTTGCAAAATTGTTCATGGACAAGGAAACTGATGCTGATGAAGATGCTGTGGATGAAACCCTGAGGCATAACTCACACAGCAAATATAATAAAGGAATATTTAGTGAAAAGGAGGAACAAATTATTAATGAAAATTGGAATCAGTTTCAAAAGGTCAGTCAACAGTTGATAATTTCGAATTCTAGTTTGGCTGAATGAAGTTAGAAAACTTAAATTAACTCTGATAGGTAAATATTGAGTCTTTCATTTTTAATTATGGTTGATCATTTTTAGTGCATTTTCTCATTTATGGAAAAAATGCACTATTGTGCTTGCCATGTCTGTCTGTCTGTCTGTCCATCAGTGACTTCAAGTTTTTGTTGATGAGAAAATGGGCTCTCTGTCACTCACTGCAGTGAGTACTGAGTTATATTTTTTTCATTGTTTTGCAAGATTTTTGCTGCAAATTATACAAAATATTAAACACTGCATTTTATCAAGAAGTTAGTTTCCTTTAGTCTACCAGAAGACTCATTCAAGTGGCTCCATTTTTTCATATTTGATACAGCTTGGTTAGTGATACTGTCCATGACAAACAAGTCATTGCTGGCATTACATGATCTTTTCAAAATAATGGATCACTACCACCTACATTTCATTTGCTTGATTTATTCATTTGTTATTATAATACTCCAAATATTTTTAACAGTGCCTAACAGTTCTACCTGTTGACTAATACACTTCTAATCCAAAATTTGCTAGGACATTTGGTTGTCTTCCACAATGCACAGTCTAAATCCATGTTTTTCAGCCACTTCATATTATTTGCATCTTGCCAACCCAGCTTGTACTTCTCCACAGCAAATATCTCTTTTTTTTATTATTATTCACTAACCTCTCTTTTTTATTATTATTATAGTGGAATTAATGTTCATAATGATAATGTTCATAGTTCATAATTCATTAACAAAAAGTGTATGATTTGAATTTCACTATTCACTCTAGTAAAAAGAACAATATACAGTATTATTCAGGAATTACCAATGTGTATTGTTTGTTGAATAATTGTATATATGTATATAACTTAAGTATATACATTGGAGTTTTAATGGCAGATAATATTTCAATTGATGTATATAGTTCCAATCCTCTCTAAATTTAATTTGCAATGTTTTAATTTTTGTGCAGGAGTACAAATTTTATGACCTGCGCCCCCTGATAAACTACCGCACCTGTATTTTGGAAGGCAGTCCTGACTCATTTTCAATAAATCGGGTCTTCTTCACCTCGGTACCTCAACAAAAAAAGTTTCTAAACTACATAAAAAAAGGATTAAACCGAAGTTTGGGGCAGGTATGTTAGACAATCTTTTATTTTTTCATCCCTGCTCACAAATTAACTTTGAAACATATTAATTTCATGTACCATATGTATTGTGTCACTACCAGCATGAGATGCCAATATATCATTCCAAATGTATCATGAATATCCAGCTGAGATAGCATGATTGCTGTTATTCGCATTAAAGATTCATAAAGACTCTATGGGTCATATGCAATCCTATTCCAAAGCATAAATGTCAGTCAAGATATGCCTTTTTGCTTTCTGCTGCTATTGCTTAAACACCATCATGAATTTTATAATGTAGCTGGGGTCTATGATAGCCTGGATTTTTGGAAATTTCTACAATTTCATATACTGGGGCCTATTGGACATTTTACAGAAATTGACTATCTTTTAGCAATTTTTTCTTCTTATATATATGATGCCTAAAACGTATCATGAATAACTTTTTAAAATTACCAAAAAGACAAATTGCCTCATTTTTGCATAACTTTAATTTAATTTTTACAGGGACTTTATTTTAATAGATCAACATTAAATATACTAGCATAACTTTATACCTCCAATTTCTACAGGTGGAATTTCAAATATAGCCTTAAATTTTTATAAAATCTAAGCCCTAATTTAATATTAATCAAGTAGCCTTAAATTTTTGCAAATAATTTGGAAATAGTATATTTTTTTAGCTTTAGGAATATTATGAAAAGGTTTTAGTTATTTAATTTTACAAATATTTTCACGTTATTATTTTTTGTTTCCCAAAGGTAAAATTGCACCTGTCTTCATTAGTATCAGGTAAAGACAGCAATTTTGCATGGAGTAAACGCATCCACTTTGGTCAGCAAAACATCATAGCAAAAAAAGAGCTGTGCCTTATTGACCTGTTTCTCAAGCGCTACGGTGTGGACATTCTGTCAATGGAGTTCATCCTAAATTCTACTCGTGGTAGAGTGCTCTTCGAACACCTTAAGAATCACTATCACTTCAAGCTCTGCCCAAGTGAGATACTTGTTTCATATATCTATTAAATGATATCTTTTAATTCAGTAGCCTGTCATATTGCTTCTTGTTCTAATATGGTTGGATTAACTATATACTTTATTTTTTATGTTTATCACAGATAAAGTTTAAGTAGGATTATGGTCTAAAAGCAAATGTAGACTGAGGCTTCATTATTGAATTTGATTTTTTGTCTTCACTGCTAATTTCATTTGCTTATATCATGGCATTAAAAAAAATGTTATTATAATAAAGCTCCTGATATCCATATCAGGAGCTACTCTATGATGTAAAATTTTGATATGTATGTTTTTACAAAGCTAACATTCCCAGCACAAAATTACAATATTTTAGCCCTTAGGTAATGGAGTCTTGACTATATGTACATTATCTGGTGTAAGAAAATCATGTAATCATTACTTAATCAATCTTTCAACAGTGAAAGTTGATTAGTTTCACAATATTTTCTTAATTGATTACCAAATGAGTTGGCTAAGGTGAATTCATGGTTGGTAACTGTTCTACTTGCAGCCAATTGTTATTTCATAAGTAGTCAGGTGACAGATCATATTACTTGCTTTTTCAGATGAGAGTTTGTCTTGAACTTAGTGCCGACCTTATACATTTGTGTTGCACTTTTATTTATGAAAGATTTTTGCTACCGTGCATGTTAAACAGCTTTGTTGTGACTTTCTTGCTATAACCTTCTTAACTCCACCTGAAATAAGTGCAGTGCTCTATTTAGCTCGTCTTTTGAAATTGCAACCCATTAATCTGAGCTTCTTAACTTCCAAGCACCTAACATAATGTTAATTGAAGAAGTGTTTGTCTAAATTTGAGGCTTCTTGTTACACCAATTGATTCCTACCACCAATTGTTTTTACGAAAAAGCTTTGTTGTCAAATTAGTTTTTTTACTGCCAGTGAATACAGACAGTTCTAATGTGTGTATCTTATCACTATTTTGGTCATTTCAGTATAAGCAAGGGCCTTCATCCAACATTTTTCAAATATTAAAAATTCAGTAGTATCACCTGATTCAACCTCAATTATTTTTTGCTTATTCAAGTATTCAAATTTGTCTTTTTCTCGAGTAAATTTTTTCCTTTAAACTTGAAAACAATTTAACATTGTCAATAGTTGCTTCATGTAGGTACTTATTTTTCAGCTGCAAGGGAATAGTTGCATGGTAGGTCTAAATTTGTTTGGTGAATGGCCTTGATTGGGGGTTGCAAGGCGATTGAACTACTAGTAGCTAGCAAAAGGAGCCTATCGTCACACTTTCCATAAACAGCTTAAATCATAGGTTACCCCAATCTTACCCTCGAATATTACCAACAAAATTACCCAATTACCCCCGAATAAAACCTCATACAATCTTATTACGAATCTCGACCACAAAACTTACCCAATTACCCCTTAGTAAAACCTCATACAATATCATTTCAAATCTTACCCAACAAAATTAACCAATTACCCCTTAGTAAAACCTCATACAATATCATTTCAAATCTTACCCAACAAAATTAACCAATTACCTTCAATATTATTACGAACAATTACCCCAGAATCTGTATAAACAGGATACCGATCATGAATCTTATCCAACAAAATTAACCAATTACTCCCGAATCATGAGTTAACGATCATTTACCCCGATTTTACTACACTCTTTAACCGAGAATAACCTAGAGCGG